CACTTCTGCTGGGGTCTCCTTTACTTCTTCCCAGCATCGCCTCATGCTCCTTGTGCCATAGCAATGGGGAGAAATGGTGACCAGCCTCAGATCCTGTACAGAGCCATCGGTGGATCTGCTCTCCCAAGTGTACATTAACTGAAGTGCACTCACCTGCACTACTTCATTTCAGCACTACATGCTTAATTAGACCAAATTTTATGCAATGTGGGGTCATGAAAACTCCCCCCAGAAGCTTTTAGTTGGATCATGATGGAGTTATTTGGTGAGGCACCTGGGCAGAGGACCAGAGGCTCTACAAACCCAAGCTGGAATTACATAGATTTTAAATAACATCATTCATCATGCCAATGAGCTCATGGAAACATCATTGATTTTTTGTAAGCTTTTCAATACATAAGGAAGATGATCACTGCATTTGTATTCCCTGCTAAATTAAAAAACCCTCCTCATCTTCCATGAGTGTTTTTTTCCCTCAGGCTTTTCTAAGGCCCTTGGAGCAAACCTGGAACCTTTCTGACCTGCAGGAAAGTGCTTTTGCAGAAGGGAAGCCCTCCTTCTCCTCCTCTCCTCCTTCTCCTCCCTGTCCTCCTTCTCCTCCTTCTCCTGCCTGGGGCTGGTGTTCAGAGTATCTGTATATCCAGGCAATAAAACATAGCCAAAAACTAGATACAGCAAGTGCAGCAAAATGTGATTACAGTCAAAACAGAAGTGTTTCAGCAGTGGTGAGCTGGAACATTCAGTGCTGAATTGCTCAGGAAAGAATTCCCAGCAGTTTGCTGCCACAAGGTGCAGCCCCGTGGAGGGGGCTTACCTTCAGCCCAGAGCACCTCTGTCCTGCTGATTTATGTCCCCGAAAGCACCAGCAGGGCTGGGCTGGGGAGGCGCTGCTGCCTGAACGCAGGCGTTTAATTTGCCTGGCAAAATTACCTAGCCACTCTCTCTAGGCTCCCTCTGCAATGCATGGAGAGAGGCAGAGCCTCCACCAGAGGGTGGCATCTGCCCTGAATCATCTCCTGGGGGACTCTGATCCGCCTCACCCTCCACGTCAGGGGAAACGCGGCTGGGATTCAGCGTTCAGCTCGCAGAAGGTGAAGCTGCAGCTCACATCTGCAATACAGCAGTGATGCTGAAAATATCAGCTGAAAACGTGGTATTAGATTTAAGCTAATCCCTAGGCTTTTTCTTTCTGGGTGTTTTTTTGGGTTTTTTTTTTGGTTTTTTTTGTTTTTTTTTTTTGTGATGAAAAATCAAAACAACAAAAATCAATTTTTTTGTGAAAAACAGGAACAGGAGTAGTTCCATTGAAGGCTTCATTACCAGCTCTCATTAGTGGACCTGAGGGCAAATCCCCACAACCACAGAGGTCCAAAGCCTCAGTGCTGTGCCCACAGGGGCCCCAGCAGTGCCAGCAGGACATGTTGTGAGAATGTGCTCAGTGGTGAACACCTGCATCTGTTCACAGCTGGAAATGGGGGATGGAGAAAGAATGAGATGCTGAATAAGCTCCTCAGAGAAATAAAGAACAGGGACCAGGTTCTCAGATAGATCCTGCACCACCAAGCCTTCCTTGGGTTGGGAATGGGGGCATGATCTAAAGTATTACAGGATCAGGGAATGGACAAAATTATCCTTCATCACTGGAGCCTGAGCCTGTTCACTTGTCTTTGATCACACATGAAAGTTGATTGTAGCCAGGAGCAGATCGGTCTCTTCTCCCAGGTAGCAAGTGGCAGGACAAGAGAAATGGCCCCAGGATGCACCAGGGGAAGTTTAGTTTGGAGATTAGGAAAAATTTGCTTACTGAAAGGATGGTCAGGCGTTGGAGCAGACTGCTTAGGGAATTGTGAATCACACCTTGGAAGAATTCAAGGAACACATGGGTGTGGCACTTGGGGATGCAGTTTAGGGGTGCATTTGGTAGTGCTGTGTAGGACTCGATGATCTTAGAGCTCTCTTCCAACCTTAATGATTGTGTCTGAGTAGTCATCCTCAGCTGCTGTAGTGATGAGCCTCAGACTGGCACCCCTCTGACACCAAGGAAAGCCACTGTTACCATTCAAGCCTCTTCTGCAGCCATGGGCTCTGTGCCCTCACAGACCCCTGGGAAGGCAGCCCCCTGCCCTACATCAGACACTCAGCTCATTTCTGCAGGTGTAGTGGTGTTTTCAAGTGCAGGCTGTCACCTCCAGTGCAAAGGTGCCTGAGGGTGAGGGATGAACTCATCCAACCCACAAATGCACATGTTTTCCATGAACTCAAAAAAACTGGGCCAAGTTCTTTGGGAGCTGGATTCATGCCACACAGGTCAGGCCAAGCTGTGTGGTTGAGGTGCACACTGTGGTTAATCCCATCTGTTTCAACAGGGCCACACACAACCCCCACCACCCAAACGTGGCTGTGAGCACTGCAGGTCATGGCCAGCAGCACTCAGGAGGCATCAGGCCCTGATATTAGTCCTACCTGCATGGAAGGATTTATTAACCCCTTCCAAGGGGCTGTGGGAAACACCATCCCACCTGTACCACCCATGAGCCATGTCAATGGGCATCTCAAAGGTCTTCAAGGGTGATGGGACAAGCCCCATCAGCCCCCAACCCCAGCCAAGCTTCACTGGTCCCAGCTGAGGGGCCCAGGTGAAAGGCAGGTGACACATTTATACTGAACACAGGGACCCTGTGCCAGCAGAGAAGAATTTTTAAATGGCTACATTAGATGGCCTAAATCCAGAAAGTGATGTCTCCATGAGCCTATTGTATCATCCCTCTGGAGCTGTTTCACTCACATCGGCAGCTGGTCGGTGTCAGACCAAGCAGAGACCATTTCTCAGCCCCTACTGCTCAGTGTTTAGCTTCTGGCCTTTTGGTTTCACAGAGTCATGGAATGCTTGGCTTGGAGGAGACCTTTAAGGGCCACATAGCTCAACCTGGGACATCTTCAACCACATCAGGTTGCTCAGAGTCCCATCCAGCCTAACCTTGAATGTTTCCAGGGCTGTGGCACCTACTACCTCTCTGGACAACGTGTACAAGGGGCTTACTCATTGTAATTTACCTTCATTTAAAAGGAAATTTCTTCATTTTACTTAGTCTGATGTTCTTCTCCCATATATCTTCCCCTGCTCACCAGCACAGTCCTGCCCACCTGCTACAGCTCCTGGCATTGGTCCACAACCATCTTCTACCAGCAGGTACTGGGGATTTGGAAAAGTCACACAGTGACATCTGCTCCAGATGTCCATTCTTCACCATGTCAAATTAGATTAAAACATCAACTTATTAATAAAGGTGATACTGCAGAAGAATTTGAAGCCTGTGCTTCAGTTTTGCAGGCAACTTTGCTGCTGGCTTAGTAGAAAATGGCTTTTACCTCCCAGGAACACAGTCACAATTTCAGTATTTTTGGAAAGGAGACAAGGTTTTTTCACCCTTACAAATGGAATAAACTCACACATGTGCTAAGATGGGCCATGGCTAAAGGATATGCCTCTGAGACAGAAAGAGCCACGTTCACATGCCAAACCTGCAGTTAGGCAGGAGTGGGTGCTGAATGTCAGCATCCAAACTGTTAATCCAGACCCTGGGCTGCTCTTGGATGTTTCCTGTCCTTGTTCCAACCTGGACTTGAAAACTATTTTCCACTAAAAATGGTAAATTGCCATGAAAAGAACCCTATATGATAAATCACCCCATTCTGACAGAATATAATTCCTTGGAGATTTTCCAACCAGCTATAACACTAACACCACTGGAAAGTCTTTAGGCGTTTCTACCTGGCTGGAAACACCAGTTGTGTGGAAATCAATAGCAGATGTTACCCAGTGTGAGATCCACCGAAGTGAGTCCAAGAGCCCAGGAGTCTGTGCAGCAAAGAGAAATCATCCTGCGCCAAACCCACAGTATTGCAACCTCACTAATACACACACACCCTGGACACACCTTACACTCCTTGCTCCCAGACAATCCCTCCTGGCCAAACGAGTCACACTGGTGTTTATTATCCAATACCTTTTCAATTTTCTGGCACTGGCTATGCTGGAGAGATAACCTGTGAGCAAGCATGGCTCACTTCTCTGCTGAACAGGAGCTGCTCCCTGACCAAGGGAGGGACAGAGCTGCTGATGGAGCTCCATGCAAGGTGAGCAGCTCCAAAACGTGCAGTGTGACCCAGAGGGCCTGAGGGGCTGTCCTGCAGGGCTACTGAGTCCCTCTGCCTTTATGGGTGCCCAGCCCCAAGGTGGATGCAGCAGAGACAAGGGGCACCTCGAGGTGCAGAGACCCCGGTGCCAAAGCTCGGGGTGATCTGGTTAAGGCAGGGACACCTTCCACTAGACCATCTTGATCAAAGCTCCATCCAACCTGCCAACTTGACCATTTCCAGTGATGGGGCATCCACAGCTTCTCCAGGCAACCTGTATCAGTGCCTCACCAGTCCCTGCAGACTTGAGACAGATACACTCAGCTGCAGGGGTTCATCTGCCAAAAGAGAGGTACCTCCAAAACGGAGGTGCCAGCATCTGGTTTACTCACCACAGGACCTCCATACCTTCAGTGGAATATAATTACCCCTGTTAGAGAAGGTAAGGAAGTTGTGACAAAGCCAGTCCAGGGACCAGCACTGCACAAGAGGGAGTTTCTACCTGTGAGCTGAGAACTGTGCTGCTGTGCTGTGATTTCTGTATGAAACTGGCTATCATGCTGCACTCCAGGTGCATCTCACTGCATCTCACAAGAATAAAACAATCCCCTCTCCTGGCACACACACAGTCATACTGCCTGCAACACCTCAGCTTTTACCTACTTATTCTGCAGCTTAATTAATTGAGTGTTAAAGTGCTTTGAGAGAGGAAAGGTGTTTAAAAAGCACAAAAGAGCCATTAATATCAGATGGCAAGCTGTTACAAGGAAAAACTGTGCTGCTGCTGTTTTCTTGATTAGTCAGGACATCCTAGGTTGTTATCTCATTTGTATTTCTGTGACAGAAAATGATACCAGCCCCTCTTAGGAAAAGTCATTTTATTTTGTTGAAGCCGTATTTTTCCAAGGATAGAGTAAAGCTCAGGAGCCATAAATCATGCCTAGATAAGAAGAATCTCAAACAGTGGTTTTTTGCAGGATGTTGCTTGTTCTGTGATAATTGCTCGATGCTCAAGGCAGATTTCCCACTGCCTGCTCAGACACGCAGCACAGAAGAGAAATGCCCCATGCCAGTTACTGTTCTTACCATTTGAAATCTGAGCATGTTAAGACAATTTTTACAATACTGTTGCACCTCTGCCCAAATCCTATAGAGCTGCAGCGCCCCGGATTTCAAGGACTGTCCACTTGCTGCCAGCAGCCATGGCTGCAGCAGAGACAAGCTGGCCTGAGCTAGGTGGGGTGGCAGTGGTGGTGGCAAACTGATAGTGCAGACCTCCTGAGGTGCCTCAGCTCTGCTGCTTGTCAGCCCACGAGCCCCCATGTCACTGTGACTGCAGAGCTGCCCTGGAGATGCTGGTGGACCTGGGATGCAGGGGCTGCTGGGCTCAGGCACAGGGAAGAGCCCCAGGAAGTGCACGGCTGGCTGCTGTGCAGTGCCACGCAGCTAAAATGGGCCAGAAACAAGGTCCCACAGAAGGTGCAAGACAGCTGTGGGGGCCAGCTCCCCCTTCTCCCCAGTGCTTGGGCTGCAGTTGAGAGCTGCCACCATCACATCTGCCTTCAGAGGCTGCTGGGGATCCTGTCACCCCACCCCAGCATCCCCTGGGGGCTGAGCTGGCTTCTTTCCTGCCTTCACAGCTGCCATGTAGCCCTTGAGGAGCACCAGGGTTAAGACAGGGTCTCATGAAGGAGCGGGAAATCAGCTCCACATCTGTCTTGACAGCAGACCAGGCATGCTTGAGTGGGCAGACACGCAAAAGTTCAGTTTGGAGAGCATCCACTGGCTGCTCTCTGCTTGTTAGGAGCCATGACCTTGCACCCAACATACCTATAGCAAAATGCCACTGACTTTACCCAACTGCAACCCATACTGGCACCCAAAAGAGTCTTTTCCTTCTGAACAAAGCCAGTTCTGCTTGCAGACAGCCTCTCTTTCTCCACCAAACAGCAGTGGCCCACGAAGGGCAAGGCAAGGAGTCATCCTCTCTTTCCATTCATGCCACTGCTTCCCCACTTCATCACCACTGCTGGCATCCTCAGCTTTGCCATCTGCATCACTGCTGAACAGGGTGCCACCTGGCCAGGTGTGCTGGGCTGGGATGTGCACACACATCTGGTTGCACTGAACGCAGTCCCTGAGATAAAGAAACAGCTCTGTCCCATCATGAACCAAATCTCCTTTTCCCTCTGAATCCATCCACGCCAGCTCAGCCTTGCTGCACGATGCACAGAGACAAAGCTGCCATGTTAGTAACCGAGCTCTCTTCAACCCAGGGCAGGCCACCACCAACACAGCACCACTGCACTGGGATGGCAGCACCTGCTTGCTCACTCCTGGGACTCATTATGGGATGCTACAGTAGATCAGGGTCCAGACCAAGCTGGCACTGGAGGCAGAGACACAGATGGGTGTGAAAGGAAGGAACCATGCATGTAGGACTCCCAAACACCTCGTGGAGTCCCACCAAAGTAAATGCTGCTGAGACAGGAAGCCTCCCTCCTGCAGGCAACTGCACCAAGAGATCCAAAGCCCCTTGCTGAGCCCCAGGGAAGGGCAGCACTCCTGTGCCCTTCTCCAGTAGTGGCAGATGTCTCTGTGCCCCTCATCTGACTGCAAACACTTGCAGGCCCCCTGCAAAGCCCTGACATGTGCCCCAGCTCCAATTTCACAGATGTTGGGGGACATGACTCATGCTGGCAGAGGGAAGAAGGGGTGAAGAGTGAGCAGAGAGGATGTGCAGTGCAGAAGAGCAGTTGGTTCTGCCTCTGACATTAAGGTGTCTCTTTGTGTGTGGATCTGCACCCAGCAAAACAAGCGCTGCAGCCCGGGATCCCTCCTGTCTCTCCTCCCACCTGATAGTCCATAGTCCCCTGTGTGCTCCAGGAGCAGTCAGCTCTCAAGGGAGACAAGGCAGTTTGCAACAGATTTGAATCCAAAAGTGTGGCTCCCAGATCTGCTGGGCATTGGAGCAGACACGAGGGCTTCGGGGCTAAGGTATTTGTGGGCTTAGACCTTCAGAGAACACCACATCTTGAAGATTCAGGGCTCAGACCTTCAGTGATCACCAGACAGCAAGGAAGGGTTGCTGGGGAAGGGGGAAGACAACCTTGGTATGGCTAAGGAAAAATGCTTTCCCATCATGCAAAAAAAAAATGGGAAGTGGGTCTTTCCTTGCAGCAAGATCCATGCAATTTCAGATGTCTGGAAAGGCCTGAAGACTGTGAGATATACCCAGCTGCCTCCCCTCCACAAGTGGGACACCAGAGAAATGAGCAGTGCAGTCAATAGCAGGACCTTGCCTCTATTTCACTCTGCTCCCTGCTGTTTCCCACCCCCAAGTCCTTGCACTCTTGCCTGCCTCTCCTTTCATCAAGTCCCAGTAACCCTCTGTAACTCATGTCCTCCCCTAACCACCACCATCTGCTCCTTGGAAGGGCTGGACTTCTGCAAGCTCACTGCCACTGCGTAAGTTTCAGTGTCATCATAGCCAGAAAGAAATTACCTCATACCACATTTAGTGTGCATTTCCCAGAGGAAGCCTCTTGACACCTGCAAATCACAGAAACTTAGTGGCCCGCACCGATAAAACCCGAACATTTGACAGCAGACAGAACTCTAGTTACAGTGGTGGTGGCCCCGAGCGACACCGCCTTGGCCCTCCTTGTAATTCCCCAGTCAGTTCATTATTATTAATGTCACTACAATAAATACCAGAATGAAATTGACAGCATTTGGCCATGTATCTTAAAGCATTGCCCCATTCCTCCTTTATTCCATGTATCTGCAGCCTTGGTTTCTGTTCCTCTCAGTCGCCAGAAGAGCCTTTAGGCACAAACTGTTTGAGGATGTGCCAAGCCAGGTAACAAAAGCCATGCACAACCGTGGCCGTGGCATCGATGACCAGCAAGAAGGTGCCCACGATCCCAGAGGCCAAGTCCTGAAGGACAGAGGGAATGGCACAGATGGAGTGGTAAGGGAAAGCAGCAAGGTGAAGGACGAATTCCACGGGGATGCTCAGGATCCTGTAGGTGAGGGACATCGCATCTTGAACAATTTCCAGGAAGCCCAGGAAGATGTTGACGATGACCCTCCCAACATCATAGGGGATGCTGATGAGCACCATGCTGATGGCTTTAAGGTAGGACACCATCTCATTCCACAGGCTGCAGACTCCACCCAGAATTGTGCCAACAACTTGCTTTACAACAAGCCACAGAAAGTAAAACACAAATTTCACAATTTCCACAAAGATGTAGATGAGGAGTTCCAGAAGTTTGATGAAGGGGGTAGCAATGATGCCGGCCACTGTTTTCATCAAGCCATTCTCTTTGGTCTCCTGGTCGTTTTTTGTTCCTACTTGCTCTCCAGAGCGGATCTGACTGACAGCTTGCAGTACTGCTTCTCTTTTCTCCTGGCTTTGTTTGCCTTTCCCACAGTTGCCCTTGAACAAGCGAGCTCTTGGGAGAAGCTGCTTCTCCAGCTCTCTCACCGTGAGGTCTGCCAAGCTGTTTTCATCACTGGTTTTTTTCACTAGTCCCAGGGACCATCCCTCTGAAGCATCACAGCAGGCTGCCAGCCAGAGGCTCTCTGGCACTGACACCTTGCCTTTAACTTTGACACTGGAAGGAACCGCACCTGCAAGGAGATATAGATCCGTCTTGGAGCAGTGAGGGATCAGAGCTTGCTCCACTACCTTCCCAATGTCTCTGTGCCAGCTTTTGCTCAGAGCTGGGCTCAGAGGGACGGCATTCGTGAGTGTGTAAGTGGCCACCTGGAAATCCTTCTCATTGAGCAAACTGGGATTGAGAAGGCCTCTCTCGTAGCCAGAGCCCACGTAGTCTGAGGTCAGGGCTTGGTTTGCACCAAGGTTGGCCATAGTGCCACCAATATCAGCTTCACGCACCATTTCATGCAAGTCATTTTCTGGATCATCTATCTGAAAGAGTAGGGAGAAGCGTTACTGCATGCAATTCGCCTTCCTAGAAAACAACATGTAAAATGAGCCCTGACATAGCACTACTAGTACATGCCATGCCTTGGGTTATATCCTGCATCCTCTCATTACTTTCCTTGAAGTGCTTCAGAGGAGTGTATTCTCTACTCAGCTTCTCAGCCAAACACATTGGGTTAGGCTCCAAAGGACATTTGCAGCTCTCAGCCTGGTATATAGCACAGCACAGACTTCAAAGTCTCACCAGGCACCACATACCAAGCCTCTGACTTGTAATTTGTCCTGGAAGAGATTTTAAGACCAATAGATGGCTAGATTTAGAGTCATGTTTTCACCTCCTACTGTGGTTGTACCTGCAGTTCACTTAAGAACTTAACCATGGTTTTACTTAAGACCCTCTGAACTATCAAATCCAAGTCATGGGGAAAGAAAAACAAAACAAAACAAAAAAAACCCAAACAAAACAAAAACCAAAAACCAAACAAGCCATGGTGTATAAGATGTCTAGAGAAGGCATTTACCTCTCATTGCTCATTGCTTATTGTAAGAAGCAAGAATGAAGCAAGTTCATGTCAGATGACCTGAACTATCCCACCTCGAACAGGAGACAACACAGCAGTGAGCTCCCAGGGCTGTTGGAGGGCTGGTCATCAGCAACCTGATCCTCATGTCATTAACAGTCTGAACCTCATCCTTAATGACCACCTGGCACAACATGGGGGAGGGCGCCATCACCCAAGGCCCTCGATGGAATCTGTGCTCCCTGCTTGTGTCTGCGGCTCCCAAGCAGTGCAGCCAGAGGTAGCGATTACTGCAGTGGGAATTTGTCCTGGAGCCACGCGCCAGGGAAGGGAGCGGCCAGGGGAGGTAATGAGCAGTGGGAGGAGAAGCACTAAATGCCAGGGTGTGTTCAGGTCCTTCTCAGGTGACCACAGCTCTGTCTGATCCATAGTCATTCCTATTGACACTGCCTGCAGCCACTCCAGAGGGCTGTGCCAAATTGTCATTTTGTTCCTCAGATTATTAGAGGGTGAACATGTTGCTAGAAGTTCAGGGGTGGCAGATGATCTCTGGCAGCCACTGCCTTCTGTAGTCTCTGTTTCAGAGGGTGCGGCCCTCAGGTTCCCCACACTGTGCTGGCCCAATTAAACCTTCTGCCTTTGCCCCTGGCCCATAAATTGTTTACTGCACTATATAATGTGCACTTTGGAGACACTATGACAGACAGCTCATAGTCAACCTTGAATCACTGCCAGGTCATTCATCCTTGTCTCCTGACCTCCCTGTAGTGCCCTTGGACAGATACCCAACTATGTCCTTGCAACCTTACACAGAGTTTGCATCCTCTTAGTGGCACATCACCTCCTCACAGCTCTGCACAAGCCTGTCAGGGTGAAAGGGCCAGTGTCAGCAGCTGTCCATCACCCTCACCTGGGAGCTGAGCTCTGGCTGGCCTCCTGCACCAGCCAAACCCCTGCAGTCAAGGTGCAGGGCTCCCTCTGCACCAAGCCTGGTCACAATGCCAAGCCTGGCCATTGCAGAGGGCTGCATTACCCCACCTCCGGCTAAGGAGGCTTCTCGCTCTTTTTTTTTTTTGAAGTATCTGGTGCTTATTGCTTTGGGACTGGGAGGATCATGGTGAGTCCCATGTGCTGATGCACAAGTCACAGCTTTTTCTAAATGCACCACTTAAAAAGACTTATTCTGCACTTTTGCTGCCTTATTCTGCTCCTCTTGCTCAGTGACCCCAAACAACAGGCTGCAGCTGGCTGACGAGGCCAGACATTTTGCATTCCACAAAATGACCCGTCTCTTCCTGCCCCCCCTTCCTGTGCCATACTCCCCTTCTGATGAGATGATGGTGTGCCATGGGACAAGGGATGCACCCAGTGTGTTTAATAGCACAGAAGAGGTGAGGGAGATTGGGCACAGATGTGAGGCTGTGTCCAGGAACTGTTCTCAGTGCTATGACCCTTTGGAGTTTGACATCCTCTCAGAGACACTCATCCCATCTCACTCCCATGGTGAGTGCTGCCAATCTACAAGGACACACAGACCTAAAATGGATTAGCTCTGCCTCCTGGCAGGAATTACCAACCTACACGAAGCAAAACAAACTCTCCCTGTGAGCTGCTGCATGCAAACCTTGAGGATCCTATCAAGAAAATATGTCCCTGGTTACCTGTCCAGTTGCAGGCCTTTGCACCTACCATCAAGATTGTTTGGGTGCAATTAAAAAAGAATATGACAAAAATACAACTGTGTGCTGCTCATGTGTCAGGCTCTGACATCACCTAATTATGCTTATAATAACTCCTATTATGGTTTGTCATAACTAATGTGCACCTGAGGTTTCCATGCCTCCTCCAGCTCAATCCCAAAGGCAAGCTGTCTCAGCACTGCATCTAATTTGCATTGCAAGATACCTTTCCTCCCTGCTTCAAAAAGCTTCTGGCTTGTGTCACCCCAAAACATACCTGTGTTCATGGAGTCAGCCATGAAGCCACCTGTCCAAACAACCTGGAAGAGCTCAGGGCAAAACCCAAGCAGACAGATAAACTCCCTGTCATAGAATGGGGGTTTAAAAATAACTAATGTGCCTGCAGCCTGTATGGATGTTAGCACATAACAATATTGATGTGTGTCACTAAGTGGAGGGCGCAGTTTGACAGAAGGGACAGAGGAGGAGGGGGATTAGAAGTATGGCACCACACAGTTATTAGGGCAGGCAGCTTCCACTGAGTTTGGTCATTTAACAAGGCAGGACGCTGCCAGCCCCCACCTTCCCCACCCTGCTATGTAGGATCCCTGAACTTCAGCTTCCCTCTCCCACCACCACTTCCTCAGGCACCTTTGCACCTTTGATTGAAGTGGAAATGTTGGATCTAACCTTAGCTAGGATTCATACCTCAGGGAAGAGGCACACTGCACCTTACACTGAAGTTTCTGCAGTAGGACATTCACCAGGGGCTCTAGAAGTGCCTGTTCTCTTGACTCTCTACCAAGAGGGATTGCAGGAGCAGCTCAGAGCTAGCTGCACTAGAGCTGGGCAAGAATCCCACCTTGGTTGTCTGCCTGGTGGTGGCCATTAACCAAATGAAAACACAAGGTAATTCATCCAGCCCCTCATAAATTAGGAAGGAAAAAGCAACTCCAGAGTTTTCTGTCTCTCTCTAAGCTACAGAAAGAATCAGAGATTTTCAGACAACCAAAATGGAGTGAGGTAAAAGACACCTGAGTGACTTGCTCACAACCCCTAGGAAATCTGTGGCATAGCTTGTTTTCAGACCTGTGCCTGGGGGAGTCTCATCAGTACCCTGCTCATCAGCCTACCCTTCCTGCTCTCTAATTTTTCACTAATTGCTGAATTAATTCATTGTTTCCAGCTGCCAATCTGCTGGTGGGTGGCACTGACATTCCTCACACTTCTCACCCAATTACTGCCTCTGTGCTACATTTGCCATTTGTTTCTCTGGCAGACATTTCTGAGGAGGGAGTGAGATGGTGCCCTCACCGCTTACATCATTATCCCAAAAAATGCATATGACAACTCTGAGGCCCTCACTGGAGTGCTGAGAGTGTTATTATAGTGATTTCTTTCCATTTGCTGTGTGTCTGCATCTCCATGAGCAAGCACATGCCACTGTGCAGCTGAGCCAGCCCCTACCCAGCCATGCCTGTCTTGGCAAGGAAATCACCCAGGAAATCGGTGATAGGAGCTCACTGGGCTGTGCTGCAGAGCAGGTGCTGCTAAGGGACATCTGCATTTCAGTTCTGGTTGAAGGAGACCCATTAGTGTTGACTATGAACTACTGTCATCCTGTGAGGCTGCTCAGGAGAAGCCAGACCAAATAAAAGCTGCACCTGCCCTATTATTTCTGAGGCTGCAGAAGGTTTTGGTGACAGGACACACAAGGTTTGGGACTCTGGAGTGCTGGCAGGAACCAAGACAAGATGAGGGGTCAAAAAGGATGGAGCAGGAAGGGCAGAGCAGCAGCTCAAGGGAGGTCCAGGGGGACCAAAGTTACAGGGTGATGGGGGGAGCTGGCCACTGCTCCATGGCAGGAGCAGCTCCTGAGCCTACCCAGGTGGGCTGGGAGAGCTGGACCACAAGAAGCAGGAGCAGATATGGGGGCTTGAGGTGATGAAGAGTGTCACTGGCCAAGGCAAATGGGAAAGGATCTCATCTCTGCTGCTTTACCTTGCTGCCTCCATGGCACTGCCCAAAGATTCTGCCAGCCTTCGTTCCCTTTGTGCTTTAAAAATTTGCCACCCTTCCACAAGTCAATAATGACAGATTCTGCAAAAAGTTTCCTCTGTTTTAAAAGGGCAAGCTCCCACAGCTTACCTGTGAAGTGGAAGGAGCTCAGATCAAAAGGCCCTTAGAAACTCCTGCAACTCAGCCCAGCCCAGAGAGCCAGAAGACAGTCCAGGCTAAGATAACCAGTTAATATCTCCTGTCTTCAGTGCCTGTGGCCTTGTGGCCTCAGTATCTCATCCCCACACATGAGAGAAATAAGCACAGCATTCTCCTGGCAGAGGGGTGAGCTGCCACTGGGTTGTGGCAACATCCAGTAGCTGAGGGCCACACTCCCAACACACTGCTCTGACTCTGCAGGCATTCCTGCCCTAACAAAGCACATTGCACACTGATAATCTCTCCTGAGCTCAACAGATGGGGTAGCCTGATGTTACTACAATATTCGTCATTATCACTGTTGAAAAATCTAAAACATTGGGGGGAGGGGGGGGAGAAGAGCTAAAGTTTTCTTACAGCACCACCAGTTTTTAAAGGATTTCCATTAAATTGAACAGCCTGAAGGCCTTGCTTAAACATGCCAAGTGACAGGGGAGACAAAAATCATTGAGGCTCTGGCAAAATTAATTTTATACTGCATATTTCTGACCTGACTGTAACCTGCATGCCCCACAACACAGCAACTCATTTTCCTACCTCAGTCTGCAACACTGGGACACGCTGAAAAGCTGCAGCATCAACTTGGTGAACCACAAATGGATGCTTTATCTCTGCCCAGTGAAGCTAAAGAGCCCCTATCAACACTGTGATCATGCTGGCAGCAGAACAAACTTGAACTTGACACTGCGATGTTTAACCCACCAGCAGCTCCCTGCCCACAAGAGCTGGCTGGGCAGGACAAACACATCACGGGTGTCAGAAAGGGCTTTCCTCTCCTCTGGCACTGCACGTTCATGCATCAGCCTCTCCGTTTTCATTACAAGCTCCCTGGGACAAGAAACTATTTGTTTGCTCAGTTCCAAGCACAAAAATAAGTTCTGCTCATGCTAAATTCATACCAACACAAGTTCAACAAGCAGAGCTCCTGCCTCCTCTGCCAAATTCTAGCCCCGCTTTACCCCAGAGGAAACCTTCTCCAGGAAGAGTCGCTTTTCAGCAAAGGAAAAGCTGCCTTACCTGCGGTTCAACCAGCCAGTTCTCCTTCCGACTTTGAGCTGACTTTGTAAACTTAAAAGCCGAATAAAGAGGGATTTTGTCCTTAGTACTGTAGAGGGTTGCAAATCGTGGCTCTTTCTTGTACTGCTGACAGATTTTCACATGGTACGGCTGCGTAAATCCTTCGGGTGGGACTTGTTCAGAGAAGAACACGTTACACTCGGCAAAACCAGCTTCATCCTTCCTAACAACTCTGCCCTGGGAAAAGCCTGGGAAAAGCGAGATGCAAAGCAAGAACGCAATTGACGTCTTCATGGTGCACTCCCTGGAGCCGAGGGGAGCGCCGTGTGCCTCCGCGGGGTACGGCCGGGGCCCTGCGCTCAGAGTCCATGCAGCAGCGCGGCCGGGGAGCGTCTGCAGCCGGGCTGTGCGGGGAATGCAATCCGAAACCGCGGCCGGTGCCCGGGGCGGCAGCGCGTTCTGCGGGCGGCGCGTTGGACACGGAACGTGCGCGAGGCGCTCCGACACACGCCGCGCACGGACGGACGGACGGACGGACGGACGGACGGAGGGCGCTGCCCGCGTGGCGGGATGCCCGACAACTCGCGATCACCTGCGCTGCTCCCGGGCAACGGGAGGGGCAGCAGGGACGGCCGTGGCAGCGGCAGGGCTGGAGCCGAGCAGCAGCACCGGCTGTCCGGGCTGGGGGTGTGGTGTGCTGCATTGCAGCAGTCCCCGGCAGGAATTTTGGCTGACACAGCCAGAAATGTTCCTGAGGCTGTCAGAGGGGATGCTGCAAAGTCAGATTCCACCACCCCAAAGAAGGTATTAGCCGTCCTCTCTCCGGCTGTGAGGCTGGCCAAAGGAGAGGGAGAGATAGAAGAGAGGTGGCAACATTGGAGCTGCTGGGAGCCCCCTTTGTCCCTTTTTGGGGTGTCTGTCGTCACTATTGCTGCCAGCCAAATGCTGCTTAGATGCTTGGGAAAGGCATTCAGCTTCCATCTCTCCTGGTGCTGTATGGGGAATTCAGAACCCTCCAGCATCACCTCATCTTGGGAGACCCTCTCTCAGAAGAGATTAACAACAGGCAGAAGGATGAGGACCCTCAGATCACGTACCCCTAATCAGCATCCACCACAGAACGTTTTGGACAAACCTATGGAACTGGCAAAAAAAAAAAAAAGGAAATGAAGTTGCTCCCCTGAGTTTATGTTCAGTAGAGTAACCATCTACCCAATAAGCAGCTGCCTATGATACCTTGGCCACTGCTAGGTAAAAGCAGCATTCCTTCAGTGACTGGGAAAATGATGTTTTCAAAATGATGGAGATGGAAAGGAGATTACAGAGCAGTACCTTGGAGTCAAGAAAAGGTAGCATTTTCCCACCCAAGAAGTGAGATGCCATCAGCTGTGTTGCCAACAATTTTTAAAAATCCTTGATGCCAATAGGGCACAAGTCCCTTTTGTAATACAATTTCCAACCAAAAAAACCTCCCAAGTGCTACCATCCCACAAGTAGTTTGCAGACAAAGTAGGATTATGTCCATACTGAAAATGATGAGGTAGAACAGTGAGTGGTTAAAGATGGTGAGCCTGCCCAAGGGCAGAGAAGGAGTCTGTGAAAGGCTAAAAATAGACCACACTGTATGACTATCATTCCTCTGCTCAGGGATGACTTCTAGAAGTATCAAGACAAGGAAATACGTCAACGCCTCTTGGTGTGGTGATATCAGCTAGGGGAGGCAGGCTGGACAGCCTGGGGAACAACAGGAAATGTAGTAAGTGGGCTTGGGTTTGGTCCAGGCAGATGACTGGTCACCCAGCCCTGCCAGAAAGAGTTAGTCATGTTCAGGAAAGGTGATGGAAAAGAAAGAACAAACATAAAATTTCATTTTCCTGCATGTAAAAAGGCTCCTGGAAAATCAAGAACAGAAGCTGAACCTTTGCTGTTAGGTGCTTTTCTGATCCCAGACTTGCAATTGCCTGGGCAGCAGAAGAAAATATTTCCATAAGCCTGGTAAGCCCTACTACCAGGCAAAGCTAGGTCAGAAAATGAATTTGAACATCCCACTTCAAGGCTGACATGCATTACCTCAGGATGGGCATGGTCCCAGTCCAATGAAAAAGCAGCATGAGATGCCTGAAGATGTGCAAGACAGCAGGCACTAGCTGAACAGATCAATGACTCCCACCAGGAAACATCCTGCCTCTGTCCTACACCTGTGACTCAACCCCTTGCCTCAAAGCAGCAACTCTGACTCATCAGATGTGCAGCCCCAAGTCGTCTTCTGAGCCTGAAGGGCTTTATGGGCTTTTGGGAAACTCTGAGGAGTTCTTTCCTTTCAGGGTGTGAGGCTGGGGTGTATCTGCCAATTCAGCTCTGCACATACCAGCAAACAGCTAAATCTGACTCATGCTGAAGAGCAGGAGCTTCAGGTTCTCACCTCCCATGAGGAGCATCAGTTGAAAGCCAGCATGGAGTTCCACTCCTCTCCTCCCAGTTCAATTTTCTATCCAAACGAGGTGCCTGTCCAGTTTCTATCTCATTTAAGATAGCTGTTGTGACCCTTGAACACAGAGCTGTGTATTTTTTTCTCTTGCTAACATCACTACTACTAAAGGGACTCGTGCCACCATCGTGCTGTGTCACTCACCATGCTGAAAAGATAAAGACAAAAGGACTGCCCTGCCCTAGGAAGGTTACATTCTCAGCCAAGGCACCACAGACAGAGGGCTCAAACACAGCGAGATGGAGTTGGCCAGAGGTTTTGATGAGCTGGTGCTGCAGTAGCTTATCTGCTATCAGACACTTTTATAGGCATCATAGGGAGTGATGCCTATAGGCTGTGATAGTGAGCAATGCCTATAGGAGCTGATGCCAAAAGGACTATGAAGATCAGATTCAAAACAGCCCTAAGGCTGTTGATGTGAGCAGAAGAACTCTGGCAAAATACACATCAGGTTGGCAATGGGCAGTGTGAGCTGGTGGTGTCAGCATGAACTGTGGCAGCAATGTGGCCCTGGGACCTGGGGCTGCCTTCTCCAAACCCATCAAGGAGTGACAGTGCAATAAGCTGAGCAGTGCCAACAGTGCAGCAAGAACCTGATGTTTCATGTGATGGAGCAGAGGGAACCCAGGGAGGAGGCAGAGTGATGTGGCCAAAGGGACATGTGAGAAAAGTGATCATGGAATTGCAGAGTATCCCCAGTTGGAAGGGACCCACAAGGACCATTGAGTCCAGCTCCTGGCCCTGCACAGGACACCCCAAGAGTCACACCATGTACCTGACAGCATTGTCCCAATGCTTCTTGAACTCTGTCAGGTTGGTGCTGTGACCATTTCCCTGTGGAGCCAGTTCCAGTGTCCAACCGCCCTCTGGGTGAAGAACCTTTTCCTGATATCCAACTTGAACCTCCCCTGACACAGCTTCAGGCCATTCCCTTGGGTCCTGCCACTGGTCACCAGAGAGAAGAGACCAGTGCCTGCCCCTCCTCCTCCCCTCATGAGGAAGCTGATCACTCAGTGGCAGGCAGAGGCTGTGGGAGACAAGAGAGGCTGTAGACAACAAACTGTATAGACACAGAGTTTGCAAGGCATGACACAGGTAGAGTGTTGGGGAAAATTAAGAGAGGCTGGAGAGAAGGAAGGGAAGAAAAGAGGTAAGGATCCAAAAAATGGTATTAACCAGCAGGAAAAGGAAGATATTGGGCAAAAATTAGAGTGGAGGAGGATCTGCATTCCTGAAAATCTAGGGTGCTAAGAAAAGGTGAAGAAGGAAAACAAATGGAAATAGGTGTGAGGAAACCCAGGGGGCGGGTTCTGACAGGTCAAGTGAGATGATGAGAGAAATCCGAGGAAAGTCTCTTGTGATAAGAAAATGAGGAGAAAATATGAGGAGGAATAGGGGGAAAGGAAAATGAAAGGTTTACATCCGTCTTCATTGACCTGCCATAGATGAGCAGTTTTTCTCCAAGGGTCAAGAGCAGGACCAAGAACAAGCATCAAGAACAATGTCTCAAAAGGAAGAATACCTCCCTGCAAAACAAACCCGAAAAGCATGTCAGCATCCAAACTCTCTAGCCATAAAGAAGCTGCCAGGCTTGTCTGTCTGCTTTCCCACACTGCTTCTCCAGCCCTGTCTCTGTTCACACGACTGACACTGGATTTGCTACAAATAGAAAATCTATCCACTCACATGCTTGACCCCTCTACCCTAGCCTTTCAAAACATTCTTGACTCCAAATATTTTTCCAGGCTGGATCTCCAGTCTCCTATCATGGCCTCTGTGAGACTCAAGTGTTGTATGTTACTATCTCTTTCTCCTGAGAAGAAAAGGAAGAAGACAGTGTCTCCAAGGGCAAGCAGTCTCATCAGAGAGACACCATTTGTTTCAGTAGGCATACCAAGCTTGGACTTGGAGCACCTCAGTGCCAGCAGACACGCCATGGCATGTCAGAGAGCACATCTGCCTCCTCACTGTCTCATGGGGAAACAGTCTCTTTTTAAAATCAGTTTAAAAACTTGCTCTGGGAAGGGAGCCCAGTGCTGAGCTAAAGGGAAAAGCAAGAGGGAAACAATTTTCTTATTGTAACTAAGAGATTCAAGGGCAAGGGGAGGGGGTGGGCAGAAGGACAACGAACTCTAGGGAAGAGCTTAAAAACACATTTTTTGGATTTTGAGTCCCACCTAAAGTGAGGTTTTAATGCCAGTCTCTGCTGCCTTTTGTCTTCCCACCTTCCCCATGGTGTCCCTGGTGCTGGTGAGGAATGGCCCTCCACTGGCAGGGCTGCTTTGTTGTTCAGCTCTGCCATGATGCTCACTAGCAAGGGTGCCCTGGGAGAGGCCACGAATGCCTCAGACTGCCAAGGATGCTGCTCTGGCTCCTCTGCTTCTTCACTTGCATTTTCTCCTGTCCAGACTCAGTGTCCACTCACAGCAGACAGTGGATGCTCTGAAGTGGTGTCATAGTTGAATTCAGAAGAGAAAAAGAGCGTGAAGTTTTAAACAAAACATTATAGAGGAGGTTGTCCACAGTGTACAATCAGAGGAAAAGGTGACAACTGGGAAGAGTGAAACACCCACATTTCTCTATGGATGGTAACACCATTAGGATAGAGACATTCTCATTTTGTACAAAAACTTGCACAGTGGAAGTCTGACAGGCACCTTGTAAAGTATAAATGAACCATGCATCATGAAGTATAAATGCATTGCATAAATACTGAATAAAATTAATAAAATCCAAATGCTGCTTCCTTTGGCATTTTATCACAGTCTTCATACCCAAGAGATCTCTGGTAATCTTCAGACTGTCTAAAAGAAGCACAATGACAATCCCATGCTAGACAGCAAAAGCAGGATGGATGTAGATTAGCAGTATAAGGCAATGTTTTTAATAGTGCAAATGATTATCTGTCAAAATGAGCTATTTAGAGATCTGCTGAAAGCTGCAGTATGTCCATTCTTTAAATTAGGAGGTGCTTTTTAACATGATAACAGCTAAAAAAAAAAAAGAGATGATGTTT